GAAAAAATGCACAGAAAGTAAAACTTGATTGGAATGCAACAGGAAACAAGTATTGGCAAAGAGTAACAGGCTGGCTAGGCAAGGAGAAAACCTTTCCCTAGTGTTATGTGTAAAGTGTAAGTGTTACGTCATGGCAGCAGCTGGCACAGGCTGAGAATCAAATCGGCCTGGCACACCTGATCTGCACCCAGAACAGGCCACCATCAGACGCAGAAAAAGTGGATTTAGGAAGCTGCACTTCCCATCCAGCTCCCTGCTTGTGGCCTGGAAAAGCAGTCACGGATGGTCCAAAGCTTTGGGATCCTGCACCCGTGTGGGAGACCTGGAGGAAGTTCCTGGCTCCTGGCTCCAGATAGGCACAGTACTAGCTGTTGTGCTCACTTGGGGAATGAATCATTGGATGGAAAATTTTCCTCTCTATCTCTCCTCCTCTCCATATATCTGACTTTGTAATAAAAATAAATAAATCTTTAAAAAAAAATAAAATTCTCAATAAGTATAGGAAGTATTTACCCTCACACATTAAGAGCCATAGATGAAAGGCCTATAGCTAACAATTCAAATGTGAAAAACTTAAAATCTCTCTAAGATCAGGGACAAGACAAAGATGTCCACTTTCATCACTTCCCCCTACAGTCGCGGCCAGAGCCATTGGACAGGAATGGCAGAAGCTTGGCTTGGGGGGAAGAGATAAACATGTAAAGCAGAACGGAAGAAGTAAATCTCTTTTTGCAGATATACAATCACAATATGTATAAAACCCCCAAGATTCCACAAAGCTGTTAAAACTAATAACTTGATAAAGTTGCAGGATACAGAATCAATATATAAAAACTCAGTCCTATTTCTGTATGTGATCAAAACATGAAATTCAGACAACAATCTCAGTTATAACAGCAATAAGAAGAGTAAATTTGGGAATAGATTTAATCAGTGGGGTGGAAGACTTAAATCCTGAAAATTCAAAACATCCCACTCCTTTCTGGACGCTGTCATCTTGTGTTTGTCATATGTAATACGGGTATATCTTGGAGACATTTTGCTAAATGAAATAAGTCAGCACAGAAAGACCAGCACCAAATAATCTGACCTATGTGGAATCTTAAGGAAGTGGGGCTCGTGTAAAGTAGTATAGTGGTTGCCAGAGGTTTGGGGAGGAAGCTAAATAGAGACGAGGAAGAGGGTGCAGAATTAGCAGGCAGGAGGAGTAAGAAAACAGGGTGATGACTTCAAATAGTGATGAGTTGTGCATTTATTTTGAATTCAAGTTAATAAGAATAGATTTACAATGTTCTCACCACAAATTTCTAAAACAATGGAAAGGTATGTGAGGTTTCGGACTTGTTAACCAACTTCTTTAAAAATTTCACCTTGTAAGCATATATCAAAATATTGCATTTTGCTCTAAACATGGGCAACCATTATTTGCCAGTTGGAACTAAAACAGAAAGAATCAACAATAGCTTTACTTAACAGCATCATTCTGAAGTACTCCGTAATTCAGAACCAATACTAGTGCAACCATTTGCTTGCAATACCCCCCTCCAACAACTACCTACTTCCTCACCTGTCCTTTGTGACACTGATATAGCTTTTCTCCCTCTTTTTCAGCTCTAGTCATCAAGACTTGGTGGTTCAGTTTAGTGCCACTTTGTGGTGGAACATCGTGGAAAGCCAGGATGTTAGTTGCACTTAACAGAGGTAAACAAAAACGTGTGGGAAGCCCTCCTCTAAAGGCTCTTCACAAGATCCGATTTCATTTCATTGTCATTTTTCTGTTTGCACGCTACTTAGCTAAGACTTCACAAAACCCTCTGCTGTTTGCATGATACTTTCTCCCATGGCTGATGAAAAAATCTGAGGGATACTCAAAATCAAAAACAATCATTGTCTTGTCAGTAAGTGCAAGTCCCTGTACCTGGGTCTAGAAAGTTTTCAGATTCAGAGAACTCCATCTGAGATGCTAACAGTGCCTCAGAAAGTTAATAGGACTTAAAAACAAGTTTATTTGGTGCCAAAAATGTCTTCTCCACCCCTGATTATAAAGGTTAGTTAAAAAACTGTGTGGAAAATATTTATCAGGGGAAAAAAATGCATGAATCTGCTTCATCCAATTTCTCCCTCCATTCCAAACATACCAAAACCTGGATATGCAATACATTGCCTAGCATCGCGTGATGTCTTGCTTGAGTTCTGAGCACCTGCTACTCATTTAAAGGCCAAAGTGAGACGAAAAGCCTCTACAGCCCCTCTGCCCACGTGTCTGTGTTTGTGGCCCGTGCGTGAGAGGTAATCGGGGCTGGCAGCATCTGTGGTCCGTGCGTGAGAAGTGGCAGGGCTTGGCAGCACTTAACTCCTCCCTTTGGTATTCTATGCTAAATCCTACAAAAGAAGCTGATAGGAACCAACAAAAGGATATATAGCCGTTCATAAAACTGTGTCACAATCAGCCTCCCCTTGACAGTTGAAATATATTAAATCTGCTCTCCATAGTACACCTGCCTCTCAGATTTAATCTCTACATTGATTTTTGTCCAAACAGCCTCAAGACTTGAAATACTCAAATTGCATCAGAGCAAACACAAATCATCTGGTTTTTATTTCTATCCGGGTTTTATATTCAATCTTAATAACTAAAGACAGGAATTAAGCCAAAATAGACACTCACCAGCTGTCACTTTATTGTCAATTAGAAATTTTCACTAATAGATGCATGGTCTAGTTGATAGATTTTCAATCTGTCAAGTGAATTCCAAAAGCCATTTTGTATCGGCTCAAAACACACGCACATGGGCATGAGCACCACAGTGTCTACCCTTAAATCATTCATCTCCATCCCATTGGTAGATCGTTTATATAAGAAATGTACAAAGGAACGGCTTTGTCCTGCAACTTGATCATGTTTAGACAAGGCTGAACTTCTAATTAGAGAAAGCATCAAAACCTGCTAAAGCATCCTATCTTCATTCTAAGTTATTTGCATGATGTTGACAGTCACTTTTTCAATATACAATGGACAATATATTAATACATGTATGTTTGAAATGGATTGCTTATGACATTTTTCTGAGTAGAACATGTTCTTGCTTTAGTCTGTAACAAACAGTCTATTCTTACTCTTCCCCTTGCCTGGTTCATCAGAAAACACTTTTGTAATTCAAGGCTTTTAAAGAAAATTTTCTACCTATGTCTGAAGGAATGGAATCAACATTTAAAACGAAGACCCTGCTCATTTTTCCTCCCCCAAATAGTCCATTAACTGCTTTATTGCATTAAGTTTTAAGTTCAATGTGCATCTATCTTGCCCGGGGCTCCTACTGCTATTAAGAGGAAGAAGGTAGCTTCCTGTGGCCCAATGCAATGGTGGATGAAAATTGCCATCCCCTGATAACTGCCCTCCAACCTCCTCCTCCTTACGTGTAGATGCTGCAGTGGAAGCTGCAGAACCTGCTGTTTACATAAAGCCCTCCTTCAACTCCAATGCAGGAAGAGATAGCCATGCACAATGTAAGCAGAGACTGTGTACGAAGGCCTGGCCAAAGCCCAGGAAACATTCGTGTTGTGTTGCAGTGACGCCTGCAATCCATTTCATATAGGCCGGTTCAAGTCCCAGCCACTCCACTCGCAATTAGCTCCCTGCTCATGTTCCGAGGAGGAGCAGAAGACAGCTGGAGTACTTACTTCGCTGCTGTCCACGTGGGGAGACCTGGATGCAGGTCACACGTGCTGGCTTGTGATGACCATTTGGGGAGTAAATCACCCAAAGAAAGACCTCTCTCTCTCCCTGTCTCTGTCACTCTGCCTTTCAACAAACTAAATAAATCTTTTTAAAAATGAAAATGGGAAATATGTAAAAAATATAAATATATGAGGGAGGAAGAAAGAGAAGTAGAGAGGGAGGCAAATAAAGTAAGATAAAACCTTTGTCGTCATGAACAAGCAATTCTTCTCTTCCATATGTCCCTTGGTAGTGAGGAAGCTTACCCCAAGGCAGAGGCGGGGCTGCCTGAGGTGACCTTCCTCTAACCACCAATAACACAGACATCTGTTTTGACCTCCACAGGGGCCTATGTTTTCAGTTCTGTACGTGGGACATAAATCCTTTTTTCTCACTATAATACAGGGGTGGATTCAGGTGCTGTGTGCCCTCTCACACAAACTAGGGCTTCATCACAGCAAAGGGGACAGATTAATAACAAAATGAGTGGCATCCCTGCCCAGCAGCAGGTGCTGGAGGTCAGCTTCTTGGGCCTCAGGATTGCTGAGAAGGTGACCGAGGGAAACAGGGCTCTGACCTGGCACAGACAGCCCCATCACCAAACACTTGTGTTCCTGCACACAAGTCCAGGTTGACTCAGCACAAACCAACCTGCCACTATCTTGTTATTGCTGGGGAGTTTCCAACTCCTGGTCACCACCTACACAGATTTCAACACAGCAGCAGGTGATCAAGATGCCCCTTGGGAAGCCAGCAGCCCACGCGGAGTGCCTGGGTCTGTAGCTCCACTTTGGATTCCGGCTTCCTCTAACGCCTCCCCTGAGAGGCAGCAGGTGAAGGCTGCAGGGGGTGAGTCCCTGCACCCACGGGATTTCTTGGCCCTGCTCTGGCCACTGCAGGCTCTCAGGGAGTCAATTAAAACGGGGAGTGCTTTTTCTATTTCCCTCTCTGAAAAATAAATAAAAATGGTTTTCAAAATTTCACTTAATTGACAGAAGTTACATAATTAATACACATAGGTTGTTTTAGTACTATGTGTTTTTCAGATCCTCAATGAATTTTTGATTTCTGAAATGTGACACATTTTTTGGAAAGATAGTATTTTTACATTATTGTTGTGATTGACAGGTTACTGAGATGAAGAAATGCTAAATACTTCATACTGGCCAACTCACCTAAATTCAACCTTAAAACTGTTATGTAACGGAGTTAACGAACGTAAACAAGAGAACAACAGACACCAATCTGCAGCGGTTAGCTCTTGCCACTTTCTGACACTCACCATCAGTTATGGTCAACTGTGTGACAAAGGTCTCGTTTTCTCCTGCTTGGCCAAGGAAGCGACAGCGGTACAGCCCAGCGTCGGAAGCGGAAGCCTGCGGAATGGTGATGGTGCTGGTGCTGCTGCGGCCTTCGCTGCACGTGCTCACTACCTGCCTTTTGTACTTTGAGGTGTGGCTTCCCCCTTGCAACATGTTGCAAGAAGCCAGCACGTCTATCTGGTGGGGCTGGATCCTCTCCCACGTGACTCTTTGCACCTTCCACGTGCTCTGAAGCCGATGGGTGAGTGTGATATTTTTTCCAGATTCTGCAATGATGTGGCTGTTCGGTGGCACAGTTATCTCAAAACCATCTGAAAAGAAGGAAATGATCAGACTTAGGTGGTAGAATCTTTGGAAGAAAGATGGAAATTACCCAAAAATTTCCATTGCAGCAATTGTTGATGCTACTTATTATAGCTCATTGATCGTAAATTTCACACCACCTTTTTAATAAGAGAAATGAATTTGTTTAGGTCTGGCAGATAAGTAGAAAAGAGGATATAATTTTTCGCACATAGTTCTTTAAGTGTTACTTGGTTAACCAAATAAAGAGAAATAGAACCAAGTCCCCTGGTGCTTTCCTCGATTGTAATCATATCAAAAGGTTCAGTTTCACCACATGTTGTGCAACGGCATGCTTGCTGGTGACTCACCAACTTCAAGTGCCAGATTTACAGAGTGTAACCAGGCCAACTAATACTCAAATGATCTCGAAAAATGACACAGTTTCCCTGAACACATGCATAAACTCGTTTTAGATGGCCAAGATTGCCTGTTAGGAGTTAGGTGGAGTGCAGGTTCAAATATAGTGTTAATCCCTGGTGTCCACAAAGTCATCTGTCAGTCACCCATCTTCCCCTCAGAATTTCTGGAATCACCAGCACAGAGATCTCCACAAAGAATCATCAAATATGTCAGTCAGTGGTTCCTAGAGTGTGTTCTGGGAACTCCAGGGACAGTCCAATAGCTTTCTATTAATATTAAGATGTAACTGATGTTCTTTCCTCTCATCCCCCTACAATAAATCTTTCCAAAAGCTTTGACAGCCAAAGGATGTCTGTGTAAACATTGGATTTTGAATTCTGTTCCATGTAAGATTCCAATGTAGTAAATATAAAATACAACCTACATAAACAGATCCATTTGTGGCACCTTCAATAACTTTTAAAAGTATAAGGGTTGGAAGTGGAACGGTAGTACATCATGGTAATCCTCTACCCTATGATACCAGCATCCATATGAGCAGCAGTTCATATCCTGGCTGCTCCACTTTCAATTCAGTTCTCTTCTTACGGCCGGGGAAAGCAGTGGAGGATGACGCCTTGGGAGCCTGCACCAATGGAAGAAGTTCCTGGTTTCTGGCACCTGGAAGAAGCTCTTGGCTTCAGATTGGCTCAGTTCTGGCCATTGCAGCCATCTGCGGAATGATCCAGTAGGTGGAAGATCTTCTATCTCTGTCTCTCTTTCTCTCTGTAAAATCTACCTTTCAACTAAAAAAATAAATAAATTTTAAAAGAGTATAAAGGGGACAAAAAGAAACTATAAACTTGATCAAATAATAAATCAATAAACCTGAGCAGATACTTCTCACAAATGAGACGGCTCAGCATGGTAAGACATGGGTCTGCTTCCTGGTAAACACAACTTTGTTCATCCTATAGCCATGCTGCTCCTAACAAAGAATTCTGATCTAATGTTTATGGGGAGAGAAGGCCTAGTTTGATGATGGTACAGGACTCATGGGCACCAGGAAGGGGTACAAATGACAGTGGGCATGTGTCCCTTTACCTCTGCCACCACCACACTCGGGGCAGGCCAGGAGGCCACAGATGTTCTTACAACAACCAAGGATGGGAGGGAGGAAGGGAGCGTGCCGGATGAAAAGAGAAACAAGCACAGTTGAAAGAGCAAGATGAAAACTAAAGCCCAGCGAGACTCCTTGTTTATTTTCCCCTCAAAGACCAACAACTTTTATCTTTGGCAAGTGGCCTGTGTGTCAAAATGTTGTTGTGAAGCGTGAAACCACCGTGCTCCCATTTTTCAGCAGGTGTCTACACACCCATGACCACAGTTAACACCTTACCCACTTAACAGGCACACCAAAGACTGCAGCTCCCAGGAGTCCAACTCAAGGAAGGGGAGATGACTCATGGAGAAAACAAAAAGAAGAAGAAGAAAAGCAAAATGTTAAAGGGAATTGAAATAGAAAGTGAAGACAGGAAAAGGAAGATGTGAGATTGGAGCAAAAGGAACCAAGGGCAACATGAAGAAAAGGCCAGCTGAGGCACTAGCACATGGTGCTGGGAAATCCAAGTATATGCAAGAAACGAAAAATGGAAAAGAAACCCATTCGTGTGCAAGCTGCTCCAGACCTTGAAGAGGAGAAGCAGGAGAGAGCGTAGTGACAGCCCCAAGGTTCACGCTCATCACCGCTGCCTTTCCCCTTGTCTCTCCATCCCAGCAGCCTGTAATCTCAGGCCCCTTCTTGCTCAACTCCACCCTCAACAGCCCTGCATACCTTGTTGTTGCAGAGGTGAGAAGGCTCCCTGCCATGGGGGTCTGTGTTTCCACAAAGCATGAAACTAAGACCAGTGGGGAAAATGTCAGGCTTTGGGATCACGGAGGAGCTCCCACAGGGGGAGCAGGTCACAGAGGGGTTTTCTCCCAAGAGAAGTGGCTTGGAGCAGAGTGACAGCCCTATGAACTTTCACTGGGAAGTAGTAACGTTAGCTTTTTGGTGTGAGAAGCAAATCAAGACTTTACTCTGAGTCTGAAGAACCTGCCTTGTCTCAGGTGCTGCTCGTGTCTGCTTGCATTCCCCAATACACCTGCATAACATTGAAAAACGCCAAAACACCCCACACAGAGGGGTAAAACCCATCCTGCACCTGGAACTAGAAAGTAAACTAATTTTAGAAAGTGACTAAATGTCAGTCAGGGAAAATTTGTCTTAAATTTAACTTCACCCACTTAAAAAAAAAGTCATTAAGAGCTGGCTTATTCTTTCTAAGATTTATTTATTCTTTTTTTATTGTAAAGGCTGATGTACAGAGAGGAGGAGAGGAGACAGAGAGGAAGATCTTCCATTCTATGATTCACTCCCCAAGTGGCCGCAACAACCCGGTCCTGCGTCAACCGAAGCTAGGAGCCAGGAACTTCTTTCTGGGTCTCCCACACGGGTGCAGTGTCCCAAGGCTTTGGGACATCCTCAACTGCTTTCCCAGGCCACAGGCAGGGAGCTTGATGGAAAGCAGGGCCACTACAATTAGAACAAGCGCATTCAAGATGAGGACCTTAATCGCTACTCTATCACACCGGGCCCAGTTGGCTTATTCTTATATTTATCTTTAGCTTAATTCTTAGACTAAGCATAGAACAGAGTGCATGCTGGTTTTACATGACTTTTCATTGCAGGAAACCATCCTCGAATCCTCTGTGCTGTGTACACGACTTCTGTAGCATGACAACAGATGGCTTCTGAAAATTCTTGCAGTGCTTCATTCACATTTCCAAGCACCATTCAGTACCCAGGTATCCCAGACACTCCTGGGTATCTGTGTACCACCACCTGTTGCCCTGTCCACCTTACTTCCTCTAGGCTGCCCTGACTACCACGAGCATCCCCAACTGGTAAATTGCACTGTCCACAGCTTGACCAGCTCTGCATGACGACACTCGTAAAGCCCTTGGTCTATGTGCACCCAGCTCCTGATATTCAATCCTTCATATAGAGACCTTTCATACAACTTGATCCCTAAGCATCTGGAACCATGTAGATGTTAATGCCTGAATAGAAAACAAAATGCAATTTCACTTTTCAATCAACACACGATGTGCTTATGCTCAATCAGGGCTCCTAATCCTAAGTCCATACAAACCTTTTATATCATACGTAAGATATTTGTCATACAAAATGAATTAATAGTTGTGGGTAAACAATCATCAGAGTTGGCAAACTTTGCAAAACTACACTGTTTCCAGAAAGCCAACATGCACTGTAACCTTGTTGGAATGACAAAACCTTGAGGTAATCAAGTCTAACTTTGACCATGGGTCCCCAGAACTACAGAGGGCAGATATATGTGAGAGAACAGTGTTATGGGACACAAAAAACTCAAAGTGAGAGTAACAACCAGGAAAACGGGAAAGGAAGAAAAGGAGAAAGAGGAGAGAAGGAGCCTGGAGGGGAAAAGCGGCTCAAAAGACACATTAGCCAATGACAAGGCGGGGAGCTTGACACGAGCAACAGTCACAGAACAACTGGAGACACGAGAAGCAGATACTTAATCATTTTAGGGAGCAAACAACCTGGTTGTTTCTCAAGGGATGACATGCTTGTATTTACTGATGAGATTACATAACATGACATCTGGAATTTGCCTCGGAATAATCAAGGGAGAAAGGAAGTGTGAGAAACACAACACAGCATAAGCCCAACCCTATGGCTGGTGCAGCGACTTGAAAGAGATACAGAATCTGTATACCATTCTTTCCTCTCTTGTGTATTCCTGAAGCTTCCGTAATAAGAGGTGTGGAAGTGTTTCCTTGGACAGCAGGGTTAGAGAAGCAGGGGTGTGAGCTCATGGTGCTGCCTCATCGGCAACGCTGCACATGGCCGGCTTGACCCGCACCAGCGCGCAGTCAGGCTGGCCTGCACCATCCCATCACACAAGATGCAGAAGCACAGCCTCAGGCAGGCTTCTGCAGGTGCTGTGCTTGCAAGCATCAAGAGCAGAACTCAGGCCCATGCTCCCGTGTTTCACACCAGAACACCACCTCTCAACCCTCCCTTCAATCCTCAACCTCTGTTTCTAAAGGCACTCTTTTCCTTCACCTTGAAACGGGTCTTTCTCCCACCTATGAAAACCAGACTTTGGATCCTGCAGTGCCATCTGCTCCCACTCTCTTTCCCCCATTCCTTTGAAACCGCCAGGAGTGGGCTCTTCCCTGAACACTGCCTCCCCCCTTGCTCAGGTATGCTTCAGTACAACCAGGTATCTACCTCTCCCATTCCACCCACACTGCAGCTGGCACCTGCACTGTCGTCCCTGAGCCTGACACCCAACCGTCTGGAGAACATCGCATTTCCTGCCTCACTCCTGTTAGGTTTGAAGGAGGCAGGAAATGGGATATGTGTATTTATCTATACGAGAGGTGCACATACATGCCTCTCTCCACTCTCTCCTTTCAGGATCCTCTTTCACTGCTGGTCCTTTTAACATGTTCCATGTCCCCAGGCCCTCGTGGCTCCTCCTTCTCCACTCCTGTTCCTGAGCGGTCGCATCGGATCCCACGTGCTGGTGCAGATCAA